AACACAGCGTCAAAAAAAAAAAAAAAAAAGATAGCATTCGGAGGCGGGAGTGGCAGGGGAGTACCGTGAGGCCGGGAGCAGCCCAGTCTGCCGCTGTCCTTGCTTCTGTGTGGTCATGGGCACTTTGGATGTTGTGCTTCCGGGGATTTAAACATGGGAGGGGGAGACTGCGGGTGGCCAGCCAGGGCCGTGTGCCATGTAGAAGCCCATTTTGCCAAGTGGGGTGAGGGTACAGAGTGGGGTGCTGCAGGGAGGAGCCAGGCCAGGTGGGAGACAGGTTTCCCATGGTGGCCGGCTCTTGGCTCAGCTCTCCTGCAGCGGGCGGTACCTCCCCAGTGCGAAACGTCTAATCCGAGTGGTGCTGGATTGTGTCTTGCAGCTGACGACCGCGGTGACCAGTGCCTTTTTATTAGCAAAAGTCATCCTCTCAAAGGTACGCCCCCACTTGTCCGCAGTCACCGCCCGAAGTGCCGAAGCCTCGTTCCCATGCCTGCCCGTGGTAACTGCGTCCTCCTGCTCTCGTCACTTCTGTTTTCCAGCTTTTCTCTCAAGGGGCTTTTGGCTACGTGCTGCCCATCATCTCATTCATCCTTGCCTGGATCGAGACGTGGTTCCTGGATTTCAAAGTGTTACCTCAGGAGGCAGAAGAAGAAAACAGTAAGTTTCCGACTAAGCCAGCCTGCTGGGACCACCGGGTGCAACTGGAAGACACACGGCTCTCCTGATTGGACAGAAGCCACAGATGGGTAGAGGCCAGCAGTCACCCTGTTTCCTATCCTGGTGGCCATGGCGCTGGAGAGGGGAGGGCAGGAGAGTAACGGAAAGGGCTCCTCTCCAGCTGTTGGGCCGGCCGCCCCGGGAAGGGAACGCGAGCACCAGGGAGAAGGACATTCGGGGTCAGTAGGGAATAGCCCGCGCCTCTCTCCTCAGACAGACCCTCTCCCTGTGAACGTCACGGGACGGCAGTCATTCAGTGCACGTGCACAGGGCGTGCAGACGAGGGGCAGAAGCCCGCGTCTTGGGACTGCTGCTTCTCCAGTCTCGGCGTGTCCATGTGGCAGGTGGTGGCTTTGCACGGCCCAATTACAACAGCCGAGATGGAGCTCGGAGGAGGAGGAGAGCCAGCCCAGCCCTGCTCAGATCAGCCTCCCCTCTGGGAGCTGGGCGGTGGCAGCCTGCCGTACTCGTGTGGACTTGAGTATCCCCTGGCGTGACCTAGGAAGGCCAATGGTTGCTTGAGCGTGGTGGTTAATTACTGGGCTGGAGTTCTGCACCACGTAAGGTCCTTAATGGAAGCCCACATCCCCGCCCCTCCGTGGGGTGAGGTGACCAGACCCGGGTCAGGCACCCTGGCAGCCTCCAGACATGCCTCCCCGCTGTCCGTCATCTGGCTCCATTTGCCCTGCCACACAGGAGAGAAGCAACCATCTGCCTTAGAGGAAGTTGAGCGTGATTATCACGTCAAAAACAGCAGGATGGAAACAACCTTGTGGCTTCATTTTGGAAAACGTCATTTATAGAGTAAAGGCCTATAAGAAAAGAATTTTAGTTCTAGAGTCAATTTAAATATTGATATTAATCAGATCATAATGTGTCTTCTGTCCTGTGCCCTCTGTCCTCTATGAAAGCATGCTGTGTAGAGGAGAAAGGTAAAGGTAAAATTCTATATAAATACCAAATCGAGCTTTATAAAAGTGTACCAGCTGTTGGTGTGACTGAAGTTAGAATGAGTATGTGGTTAAACCAACCAAAGGAACTAGTAAAGTAAAGCACATGGTTAATGAAGATGTTCAAACAGCCCTGTCTTCAGCGTCAGTAGCAGGCTTTACACACGTTCCTGGCATCTGCTGTGTGGCCTGGTGCCTCCTCCCACTTTTCTTTTTCCCTTAAAGAATTATTCTATTTGATTTTATTTATTTTAATTTGGTGAGAGAGGGACAGAGGTGGTGGTGGGGGGAGCAAGCTGCCAGGTCTAGGACTCAAACCACAGTCAGCCATGTGGGAGTCCAGTGCCCTTGACCACCATGCCACCTGCTGGCCCATTCTCCCACTTTTCTTCACATTAATTTGGACTTGAGCTGAAACACTCTTGTGTCCATGGCCGCCTCCCCCTGTGTGAGTGTTCTTGACCTGTAAGCAGGCCTCCTCCTCTTTTGTTTGTAACACATTCTTTGGAAATTTTTCGTTGCATGACTGTTTCTTCATCATCTGAATTAGTCCTTCTGTGTTTATAAAAGGCCATCTAAGTATTACACTTTCTGTTGACATTCCTCTCCCCAAATGCAGGCTGTAGGCCACTTGTATGAGCTACTGGGTTTTTTGTTTCACTTGGTTTTAGTTTCAGTATTGCTGATTTTGTAGGGAGGTAAGTATTCCCGAAAGAAAAATTCTGTAAATACTGAGTTAATGAATGCCGTGAGTAACGTGAGACTTCATTTTTAACTACTTGGTTTTATATCTTTACCCTATCGGTTCATAGTTACTAAGGAAAGACTTATGTTTTGGTTGAAGATTTTTCAAAGTACCTTATTTTTCTAAGAGTTTTTAAATGTAAGACTTACTGCTTCTACTAATACCATTTTACAGCACTTGTCAAGAAGCGACCAAAAAGGTGGCAGCATTCTCAGCGTCTGAATTTTTTCTTTTTCAGGACTCCTGATAGTTCAGGATGCTTCAGAGCGAGCGGCACTCATACCTGGTGGTCTTTCTGATGGTCAGTTTTATTCCCCTCCTGAATCTGAAGCAGGTAAAAAAAAAATGGCATTTGTGTTTTTTCATCATTAAAATATCCTTCTATTTCTCAATGCATTTAGTGAAGATTTAATGTGCCAAGCGTAAAAGATGTGAAAATATGTAAGACATGGTCTTTCGTGAGACCAGCAGCGAGACCCAGATGTGGGGAGGTCATACAGGGTGCAGACTCTCAGCTGTGGTCCGCATTTCAGAAGGCAGGCAGGCCAGGAGAGTCTTGGCGCTCCCTCTGGTACCTTTCATCCCCAAACTAACCTTCCTCTGGGAGTCCCTGTGTCTGAGAGTGGGAGACCACCACCCAGCTCCCCAGATCAGAAACCAGAGCCTGGCTATGGACTCTACTCTGTACTTAGGGCTCACAGCTCATCTCTCACGAAGAATGCTGTCTGATCTGCCTCCTTTATTCCTGCCTCCATTATCTAATTAGAATTGTACCGCTTCCTGTCTGCTCCAACCTCAACTTGGCTTCTCTTGCTTTAGTTTCTGCAGCGACTCTTTCTCTGCTTCCAGTTTTGCCTTCCACTGATCAGCCACCAGTGTTTTCTTAAAAATAACAGTTGTGGAAGCCAGCAGATGGTGTAGCAATTACATCACTGGACTCTCACATGGCTGACTGTGGTTCGAGTCCTGGACCTGGTAGCTTTAAAATCACACCAGGTGTATGTGCTTGTCCAAGATCCCAGGAGGAGAATGGAAGAGAAGGGATTGCAGCGTGGCAATCCCCTCAGGGTGTGATTTCTTACTTTCCTTCTCACTGTCTCTTTCTCTCTCTCAAGCAAGTACACACACCCTAAGGCAAAAACCTCTTAAACAAACAAACAAAAACCACTTGCACTCAACAACAAAAAAACAACCTGATGAGAAAATAGGCAAAGGTCTTGAAGACATTTCTGCAAAGAAGATACACACATATGTTAATAAGCATATGAAATAATACCGTTACTAACGTTAGGAAACAGAAATCACAACCACAATAAGATTCTGCCTCATACCCTTGAGGATAACTTAGTACCGAAGAAAAAACAGCAAACAGTAAGTGTCGATGAGGATATGGAGCAGTTGGAACCCTTGTGCTTTGCAGGCAGGGATGTAAGATGGCGTCGTCATGGTAGAAAGCAGCGTAATGTTCCTCCAAAAGTTAGACATAGAACTACCATGTGACCAACAGTTTCTCTTCAGATAATCATCCAAAAGAAATGGAAGCAGAGACTCAAACAGACACCGTGTATTTTTATAGCAGCGCCATGCACAGTGGCCCCAAGTGGAAAAAGCCCAAACGATCATCAACAGACAGATGGATAGCAGGGTGAAGTGTGTCCATCCAGTAGGATGTCACTCCGTCTCAACGAGGAATGAAACTCGGACCTGTGCTACAGCGTGCACGCGCCTTGAAGACATTATGCCAAGTGAAATAAGGCACAGGCCAGCAGTTACTTTATGATTCAGTTTTGTGAGTTACCTGCTTTGCCAGTTCATAGAGGCAGAGTAGAATGGTGGATGCAAGCGGTGGGGACAAGTTGGAGACGGTGGTTGCACAACTGTAGGATGTAATTAATGCCTCTGAATAGTGCACCTAACAGATGGTTAAAATAGCATAAAATTTTTGAAATACTTTTATTATTTTTTTAAAAAATTTACTATTGAGTACATGTGTTTATCAGAGAGAGAGGGAAAGTGAGAAAGCAAGCCGACAGGTCCGAGTATCAAACCGCAGTCAGCCATGTGGAAGTCCAGTGCCTTAACCACCAGGCCACTTGCTGGCCCCAAAATAGTATAAAGTTTATGTTAAATATATTGCCACAATAAAAAAAAATTGGAAAATCATCAACCTTTTGGAAGTGCCGCGTGCCGTTGTAAGGGCTTTATGTGCTTTTATTCTCACAGCCATCCTGTGCTGTCAAGCTCTTGTTCTCCCTGTCCTAGAGATGGACGGAGTGAGGCACGAGGAACCGATGCCGTCTGCCCACCCTCGCACAAGTAGAGGTGGTGCCGTGAGGACAGCCCACGCTCCAGTGCTAGAGTTCACACTCAGAGCTCTTGAGTGTTTACGCAGACGCTCAAGGCCTTCCGTGGCATACAGGATCAAGAAGTCATCAGGCCTTAGCCTGGCAGAAAGTGATCACTGCTGCCCGCTACTTCAGCCTCTCACCTTGTCTTCGCCTTGTGCTCTTCTGTTTGCCTTTCTTAAAATCGTCCTCAGGACACTATGCATCTTGCTTTTCTGTCCTAATTATCTTCATCTCTGTAATCACATGTTGCTACTCACCTCTCTCTCCCACCCCATTGCTCCTAGCAGTCTTGGTTAGAGTGCCCTTTGCATGTTCCTTGGGACCTGCCTTTCTGTGTTGTCTGCAATGTTTTCAGCAGTGGTCTGGTCTGTTCTACCACCGGAAAGTAAACTGAGTTAAAAATTACCTTATCATATTGCTCAAGTAAGCACGGTGTCTAATGTAAACACTCATTGTAATAAAACAAAGAGCCATGTGAGTGACAGAAGGGACGGCACTGCGAAATGTCAGTGCAGTAGGGAGCTCTGAGTAACCGTGTTCTGGACTGTCGGTGTGGGATTTACAAGCAGTGTAAAACACAAAAACACAGAGCCAGGTTGAATACAGCTATGAGTTACCGGAAAACCAGCATCTAAGTAGAAACTTGAATTAGACGTTAAACTTTTAATTTTCTCGTTTTATGGATTGTGTAATACAGACATTTTATATCATGGGACTCATTCCTTAAAAGTGAAGTTCAGGGACCAGTAGATAGCACAGTGGTTATGTAGCTGGAGTCCCACACAGCCGACCACGGTTTGAATCCTGTATGCGGTGACTTGAGAATCACCCAGAAGTGTGTGCATGCATGCCCATTATCCCTGAAGGAGAATGAAGGAGAAGGGATTGTGACATGGCCATCCCCCATTGCAAGGGTGGGTTCTCACTTTCTTCTCACTGTCTCTGTCTCTCTCTCTCTGGCAAGCACATGTGCCCTAAGGCAAAAACCTCTTAGAAAAACGAAGTTCATACTATATATAGTTTGCATTTCTCTGACTTTTCTTAGACTAATAGAGTTTCTCAGTACTAAGGTGTTTTTGAATTAGAAGTTCAGAACAGCAGGATGGTAACACATGAGGAACACCACTTAAAGCCTTCCTTGTCAAGCCTTCGTTTCTGAGTCCCCTGACTTCTTGTCTGACTTTTACTACCCCCTAGTGGTTGTCAGAGCACTACCTTGTCTTTGGGTTATGAATACCAGCGAGCAGCACAGATTTCTGCCTCGTTCAAGGCAAAGTGCAGATTAGTCGCAGGCAGAGTAGGCGGTGCAAGTGGCTCACTGTATGGTACTGTATTTCACTGTGTGAATATTCAACTTAGAATTAAAGTGGAAAACGATGATTGGATTCATGTGCTTAGAGAAAGAAGACTATCCTAGAGAAGACACGCCTTGTTACTCCAGGAGATCGAAACTGAACAGTCTGTGGGAACCGAAGTTGTAAGCTGCTGTTTCCTCGTAGCTGGCTGACTCCAGTACACGTGCGGGCCTCTGAAAAGGCAGGACTCACCTCCTCGTCCTTCCGCCCAGCAGCTAGTACAGTACCTGGCACTTACCAAATCTGTAACTATTGAAGGAATGGATAAAAAAGAGAAAAAGAAATTGAAGGCACCATAAATAAAAACATTAGCATTTTTCTTTTAAAGTTTTTTTACATAAGGCACGTGTGCTCACCCAAGAGAGAGAAAGTGAGAAACCATCTTCCAGGAGGGCAAGCTATACTGCAATCCTTCTCCATTCTCTTCTTGGGATTTGGGGCACACATGCACACACACCTGGCAGATCTGGGACTTGAACAATACTTGGCAATGTGGGAGTCCAGTGCCTTAACCATCATGCCACCTGTAGGCCCCAAGAAGATAGGAAGGGCTTTGTTGATTTAACCATATCTTGCATACCTAGGTATTAAATTGAAAGAATGAGGAAGCACGATCTTCTCTCAGATCTCGCGATACAAGTTGCCATGTTAAGTTATCAGTTAAATGAACCCTTCATGATGCTGAGGACGGGATAGTTCTTCACCTCCTAAGTCCTGGAAAGACTCACTGAAATTGAGGAGTAGCTCAGATGCATAATATGTTAGTTCTAAGCAAGTCTAAATAAAGACGTTAAAATTCTTCTACTAGGAGTATTCCTGCTTGGCCCATGGCCACCTGACCTCATTTCTGTTGCTTTACGTGATTGTTTTTTTGTTTTTTTGAGAGGTTTTTGTTATAGGGCATGTGCACTTGCCAGAAACACAGAGAGAGACAGAGAGAGAAAAAGTGGGAAATCACCCCACAGGGGGTATGCCGCAGTCCCTTCTCCTCTGTTCTCCTCTCGGGATCTAGGGCACGCACGCACATGCGCCTGGAGTGAGTTTAAGCCACTGGGTCTCGGACTCGAACCGCAGTCGACTACATGGGAGTCCAGTGACATAGCCATTACGCCAACTGCTGGTCCCGCTCTATGCGATTGTTGCTAGTGCCTCTACCTTTCCGAAGTGCCCTTGTTTAGATGCTCAGTCACATGGTCACACTATGTTTATACACATAACACGATTTTCAGACTGGTGCCTTGGCACAATGTTTCAGTGTGCTTAGAAAACTGGACCTTACAAGGTTGATGAGGTTTGAGTCCTAGCACTGGTGGCTTGAAAAACACACTAGGTGCGTGTGTATATATCCAAAATCCTGGATAGAGAAATGGAAGAAAAAGGATTGACCATGCCCTGTAGGGGGGCTGCTTGTTCCCTCGCTCACTCTCTGTCTCTCTCTGTTGAGCATATGTGCTCTCTGGCAATACAAAATTAAATTTTCTACCTTTTAATATTGAAAAATCATTGACAGGAAGGTTGAAAAACATTCATATTTCAAAACAGCTTCATTGAGATAAAATTTATACCATAAAATTAGTCTGCTGTGAGTGTATAATTATGTGATTTTTAACACATTTGGGTTTTTTAATCAA